GATAGACATTTAGATTGTTTTTGTTTTTTTAATTACATTTCTTTTTTTACAAAGATTTTATTTATTTTTATTTTAAATGTGTGAGTATTTTGCTTGCATGTATGTAAATCTACCACATGTGTGCCTGGTGTAAGCAGGGGCCAGAAGAGAGTGTTAAATTCTCTGGAACTGGAGTTACAAAGGTTTTAGCTGCCATGTGGGTGCTGGGAACTGAACCCAGGTCCTCTGAAAGGGAAGAAACTGCTGAGCTTTCTCTCTAGCCCCTGTTTTTAGTTGTATATGTATATATTATTTGTTTGAGAATTTCCTGCATACATGTTTTCATCAAGTTCCCCTCTCATTCCCTCCAGTTCTTGTCCTTCCCACTCCACTACTCTCTCCCCTATTTCATGTATTCTTTTTCCAAACCCACTGAGTCCACTTAGTGTAACCTGCATGTGCATGGGTGAGGGGCCATCCACTGGAGTATGGATAGGCTCTCAGAGGACATAACCTTGAAGGACATTGATTCTCCTCCTCTCAGCAGCCTTCAATTACCAATAACTCCTTAGCTAAGTGGCATTTTGTAACCACATACCCCATCCATGCCGGGATTTAATCTTGCATGGATCTTGTGCATGCAGTCACAGCCCCTATGAGTTTGTATGTGCAACTGTCCTGTTGTATCTGCAAACCAGTTATTTGTTGTAATCATTCACTGCCTCTGGCTCTTGAAATCTTTCTGCTTTCTCTTTGGCGATGATTCCTGTGCCTGGGGAGGAGGGGAAGGAACATAGATGTCCCATGTAGGGCTGAATTTCACTCCACAATCTCTTACTATCTGTACGTTGACCAGTTGTGGGTCTCTGGTTAATCTTCTGCAAAAAGAAGCTTCTCTGATAAGGGCTGAGATTTGCATTAATCTATGTGTGCAATGATAAGTCATTAGGAGTTGGTTTAAAACTATGTCTGTTTAGCAGAATAATACTAGTAGGTTCTAGGTTCTCCCCTAGTGCTTGTGACTTATCCAGCCACGGGTTCTTGGCCTAGTTAAGGGTGCCAGGCATATCCTTTAATTTAACATAATTTTTAACTTGTGTGTGTGTGTGTGTGTGTGTGTGTGTGTGTTGTGTGTGTGTGTAGGTCAGATTACAACTTGGGGGTGGAAGTTCCCACCTTCTACCATGTGGGTACTGGGGCTCAAACTCCCAAGTCAGGTTTGGCAGCAAGTGTCTCTATCCACTGAGCTATCTTGATGGCTCTGTATTGCTTTCAGTTGGGGCTATTATGAACCCCACTACTAAGAACATTCAACGTCAGTGTTTGTAATTTCACATTTTTTATTTCTTTTGGGTAGATAACTACATATGATAAAATTTTGTCTATCTTTTAAAAGAACATGATAACAAGAATTGTGGTAGAAATTCTGTGTTTACAAAATATGAGATATAGTTTATAAATGGACACATCATGAAATTTACCCCTTTCACAGGCGAATGATTTTTAGAAAGCAACCTCCTATTAATGATTTTTAGAACTTTTACTAAGATGTAAAATAATTATAAAAATCTAGTTTTAATGTATCTTCAGCACTTTGTAAGATCCATTGTACCTATTG